CCCTTCCAAATGTTAGGCTTCAAAATTCCCATCATATGCAGCCAGTATGGCATCCATTTCTACATATCTATAGGCAACAGGTTGTGGGAAGATTTCTGTACTTGATGAGTTTAAAATTTTCTTCACCAACATGAAGAAATATGTTTGTTTGCCCCTTGTTCCACATTGTTTATTGGTTAATTATCCTATCTGGACCATCATTTTTCCCTCCTTCAGAGAATGCATTTTTATTACTCCATCAGGATTTCCTGTTTTTCCTCAATTACTCGGAGAAAAAAAATGCCTCTCAGCTCTAGGCATGGCACAATAATAAGAGGATTTAGAAACAGATTGCTTTCAAGTCATGTTAAATCACCACAAGCAGTCATTTATCCAGATGTTAACAAACTGGCCCACTTTCCTTTTCCCAAAGGAAAATGCCTAACACGGAAAGTCCATTTTCCTCCTGCTCTCCTCCATCTTCTCTATGAAAATTCTTAAAAGGAAAACAAGGATTTTTAAACAGAGTAAAATATAAAAGAGAAGAGGACAAGAGAAAATCTCAAAATACCCAAAAGATATCAATAATGAAAACAATCTGTTTTACCCTGATTGAAAACTGAAGCAGCTTTTGATAATTTCCACACTAGTGATTTACAGCAGTTTATAACATCACTTAGCCATCAACATGGAGATATAAAGCCTTATCTTCATTACTGATACTTCAGCACAGCAGTGATTGGAGAACTGCATAACCCTATAAATCACTAACAAGGAAAGGGGCTAAATCACCTCAACGGTGCAATGGAGACTGCTCCTGATTTTGTACATTTGCCCTCCCTCTGTATGTAAAATGGGAAAATAAATTCTTCATGCAGACACACACCTGGTGATTTTATGGCTCATCCAGTCAGTTTTCTTAGCAATACCAACTAGGAAGCTACCTTCTGGTTTCCTTTGACCCTGAGACTTTCAGGTAATCACTCACTATCAGGTCTGACTCACAAGCCAAAGTGAGTCAAGTGATGCCAACCACTAAGCTTTCATTGATGTATTAGAGAAGACAAGCAACATGATAGCTTCTGTAAAATAAAATAAAAATATGGTGTTTTGACAGGTTGGAGGAGGGAGGGGGAGGTGAGAGAAGGCAAAAAGGGCTGCGTGAGATTAATGTAAAAGACATTTAAGAAATGAGGAAGGAATCGGGCTTCCCCGAGAGAAATGAAAGAAGGAATTCGGGAGACGAAATAAAGAGATAGAGGAATTTCACCTGAAATGCAATGAGGTCATTTTATGAACCAATATATGGGAAAAAACCTCGCAGTCTGCCCAGCCACAAGGAAACCGCGGGAATTCGCACGCACGCCAGCCAACCATTTCCAAAGCAGGGAAAAGCCCGGCAGCGAATGGGAGGCTTGCACGTGTGTTTACGAAGTGGACCGGTTCTTAGGTTTCCGTTGCAACCGCCGATCTGCAACCACTTGTCTTCTGCATGAAGAAGGCGCGCGCGGCGGCGTAAGCTTAACTGTTGTACGCAGGAGAGCGCGCGGGAGCGGCGAGAGGGGGGGGGAGGCCATGGCCGTGCACGCGCACAAACCCGCGTTTTAGCGTCTGCCCAAGTACTTATACACACTGCGCCGCTAACCGACATCAAAACTCCAGCAGCGACTCACTTTGATCGCTAGGAGGAGCCTGCTGCTTACATTTGCCAAACGGAGGTCGTTTCTCTCCCTCTTCCGGCTTGGAGAAAAGGAATAAATAATAATAATTATTATTATTATTATTATTATTATTATTATTATTATTATTATTATTATTATTAAACTACTACTACTACTACTACTACTACTACTACAACCTCGTGCCATGGATACTGGAGCTTGTTTACTATCCGGACTCTCTTGCAATTCGTTTTCTCCCTCTCCTATTAAACGCGCAGTATTCGTTTTCGAGGAGAATTTCATCATGGCTCGGTGTCGTTTTCTCATCTCCCTTCCGAAGCTCCCAACCTTGGTCTGTTGTTTTTGACACAACAGCCATCCTGATGGCGTTTTAGAGCAATAGCTTAAAAGCGGCACGTTTTAATCATTGCACGCAGCTGTGAAACCTCCCCACAGCTTGAAAAAAATTTTCGGCCTCACAAATAAATTACGGAAAGGAAGTTCGGCGGGGGTGGGGGCGACGAATAATATTCACCCGCCTAGCGGTTCCCCTCTTGACTCCTGGAAAGCCACAGGTCTCGCCTGGTGCTTTCAAACGCCTTTTCTCATCCTTTCCACCAGCGTGTGACGCTGCAGTGGCGGCTTTCAGGCAGCTTTGCTCTGCCGGTCCGTAAATTTACTGCAGCTAAAAACAAGCCCTCTCTTCGTGCTCCCCCCTTTCTCCCTGGCAGCTTAGGCTCTCCTCTGCTCAAAGGCAGGACCTATTCACGTGAAAAGTAGCCGAGGCGGAGGGCCCGAGATCTGCCAAGAGATGGAGGATGCTAAGCGATGTGTGCCTTGCAGTATGTATGTGTGTGGTAGATAGCTTCTCAGAAAGCTAAGAATCCGCCCCCCTTTTTTTACAGCGGGTGGAAGAAACGGACATATGCTATTACAGTAAAGGGAGTTGTGTTTTGACGGCCCCGGGGATATCCTCCTAGGCTGTTTTGATCTTGTAATTCCATCTCTTTCCCAGAAATCTATGTGACGCTTCACAGCGTAAGAGCCAAATGGACCTACCGCTCGATTTATCGGTCAGGCTTAGACCCAAAACATGAAGGGGATGGAGGATTAAATATGTTCAAAGAAAAATTGAGTTTTCCACCAGCTTCGCTGAAGAAATTGCATTGACGTTAAATTCCTTGTTTTTTAAAAAACCGGCGGAATATACAGAGCTGAAGGGGCGTATGTATACATGCTTAGCGCTTACTAATAAGATGTGTTGTCTTCGTCAACTAGATTTGTAAATGTTTGAATGCAACCGAACTCGGCGTCTCCCCTGTGTCCTCTATATCTGTGCGGAGACCTTGGCAGCACAATAAAAATATAATTATAACCTCATTTATAAATTATTTCCTTAAAAGCAATCCCGAAGTAGTTCTGTTTTAAATTCTGTCATTTGGAAGAGCTCTTTCAGGCTACTGCCCTATACACATGTGAACTACTTTGGAGTAAACATATATAGGATCCCATCGTAAACAGCCATTTCCAAGACAATCTACCCGCGATTTGGAAGGCCACCCTACTGACTACTTATGCTGCGATCTTCCAACTCTTTTTCCCCCAAAATTGGTTGGGTGGAAATTGCTCTGAACCCTAGCGATTGAAGTTTTTATGCTTGCCGGCTCGGTAGTAAGCCCTAGGGAGTTCTTTCAAGCAAGACGTAAAACGAGGTATTCGGTTAATGAGACATCTTCCGCCATTCTGCTCCAATTCACCATACAGTGATGCTTCAGATCTACTATAGTGATACACTATTCGAAGAAGGAGGGGCAAGTAGTCGGCGACGCTCGTCGCTTTCCTGCAAGCGCTAAGACTCTCCGACGGGGGCGAACTTAGCCTCAGGGGTTTTGCGGCTCCAGGAAGTTTAAGAAGTCAAGAAGCAGCGTTTCACCAAGAGAGCACTGGGATCCGTTGCTATAGTACAATTCCTCTGCGCCATCATATTAAATCAGGAGAGCCAGGAGCGGTAGTAAACAGCCGATCCGTAAGTCTAAGTATAGGCTTAAGCGGGGAACAGGCACAGCTACTGATCTTAATTTCTCGCCATCACAATGCACAGCCAAGGGCTATCATAAAAGCCAAGAAAAAGCCCCCTTTCGTCCTGCCCCCAGCTTTGGCTACATTGCTTGTCACCATTGCCATTTAAGCCAATATGTTTATAACTAGGACCACACATTCGACTGCTTCTCCCAAACTAGTGCCCTCCTTACGCATTGGGTTTTAATGCCCATAATTTGGTAGCGGTGGCCAGGTATTGTAGAAATCCATTATTTCTGAAGTACACCACTTTTGGGAAATATTGTTTATAGGCGAGACGGCAATCTGATGAAGCAAACCCTTGTTCAGGAAATCCCATCTAAAACATTTGCCAGCTTTTTTGCCACTCTATTCCTGGTAGTTTTCAGTAGCATCACGTGACCTGGAAGAGTCTTATTATCTGTCCCTCCTTTCTTTCCTCGCTTAATTTCTTCTGCCAAAGAGCTGGTACAGTCAAATCGATTAATGCCCAAAAAGGACGTGCGGCAAAATGTTTCCAATACGAGCAACAACCGCCCTCCCTACAGAGAGAACTCCACTTCAGGACACTTGCTGGAAAGTTAAATTCTCGAATGTGTTTGTTACTATACAAAATTAATGAGGCAACAGACGAAAGGAAAATCTACCTCAAATGTTCCTTGTTTGTTTTATTTTTAAAAGCAAGGAGAGTGTGGAAAGAGTCAAAGACGAAAGGGAAAGTCCGCAGCAGGTGGAAACTCCATCTCCAAGGACCAGCTTGTTTATTAGCGTCATGGTATTGCCTGATGACGAGAGGTAATCTCCTTGCTCAGTAACCGCAACAAGGGAATAGTAACTTTCCGAGGCAGAGAATCCCCAGTAAACGCTTCGGGAGTGTCAGGGTTATTCTCTCCGCCACACACCACACACACAGAGAGACCGACACAGAGTAAGAGGGACGGGTTCTCCCGTCTTCTCTCCTCCCACTTTCCTGACGAAGGTTGCTCGACGGGCGGCTAAACCAATACGCTCTCGTCCTAAGCCTGTAGCTACAAGGCGATTGGTTGGCAGAAGCAGATCGCTGCGCAAAAACAGACCAGCCGAGCGCTTGGAGCTCAGAAACTGCCAGCAGAGATTCACAGACGCTCGAGCTGGGACAGGAGAGGAGAGAGCCACCGAGTCAGTGAATGAGTCTGGGAAGCCAGAGATAGCAAAAGAAGAAGAAGAGGGTGGAAGAAAACTGATCCGGACTCTTGTTAGCAAGAGGTGGGGGGGGGGGAAGCGCTCGCAGGGAAAAGGCATTCAAGGAAGAGATGGCGAGAGAGGTTTAAGAGAATCTCCACGGAGTCCTCGAGAAATGCAGGGATTTAAAGTTTAGGGTCGCCGAACTGCTCTTTGCCTTCCTCCCACCCGTCTCATCTTTTCGATGGCTCTAATATCTTCTGGCTGTTTTTAATTTCATCTGTCTCCCTCCTCCCTTCCCCGGGAAGAGGGAGGGAGAAAGAGCAGCTTTTCTTGGGTCAAATTTATTTTTCTTCAACCGAAGGGGGCATGTCCATCGGTTCTTCTGACAGCTTTCCCCCCCTCCTGCTCCTACAAGGAAGCCAACCCGAGGATAATCTTGAAATACACCAGTTCCCCCGGATTTGCTGCTGCCGCCACCTCCACCGCCTCTACTGCTGCTGCGGTGCAGTGCCTGGACACTGGGAATAAATTAACACGGGCTCTTCTGTCTATATAGCCACCTACCTATTGCCTCTGGTTAGCCATTTCTTACGAAGATCACTGATGTGGTGGGAGCTCCGCCTGGCAGCCTCCCGTGTCTATCTTGCATGATTTCCCAGCCCTCCGTCGTCGTCTCCTTCCCTTTTTCCCCCCAGTTTCGTCTGAAGGGAGACGGTGATGGGGAAGACAAGAGAACATAGGGAAGGGAAAGGAATGAGCATAAATCGTTTTTGAAGCTCGCCTCAGTCTTTTGCTTTTCCTCTCCGGCCCGTTAAACACGGTATTTCTCGAAGGAGGAGGGGGATTTTTGGGGGGAAGAAGGAGGAAGTGTTGGCGTCGGGAAGGGGGATCTCTTTCCCCTTTTGGAGATGGTGGTGCTATTCTTCTTTGCCTTAAACTGGATGCTGGAGGGAGCCCTTTCCCAGCTTCACTACACGGTGCAGGAAGAACAAGAACATGGCACTTTCGTGGGAAATATTGCCGAAGATTTGGGCTTGGACATTACAAAACTTTCCGCTCGTCGCTTCCAGACGGTGCCTAATTCGCGAAGCCCTTATCTGGATCTCAATCTGGAAACCGGGGTGCTCTATGTGAGTGAAAAGATCGACCGGGAGCAAATCTGCAAGCAAAGTCCGTCCTGCCAGTTGCACCTAGAGGTTTTCTTGGAAAACCCGCTGGAGCTGTTCCGCGTCGAGATCGAAGTGCTGGACATCAACGACAACCCGCCTGCTTTCCCGGAGCCCGACCTGACCGTCGAGATCTCGGAGAGCGCCACGCCGGGCACCCGTTTCCCCTTAGAAAGCGCCTTCGATCCAGACGTGGGGACTAATTCGTTGCGCACCTATGAGATCACCCCCAACAGCTACTTCTCCCTGGACGTCCAGACACAACCTGATGGCAATCGCTTCGCCGAACTAGTGCTGTCCAAGTCCTTGGACCGAGAGCAGCAGGCGGTGCACCGCTACGTGCTCACGGCCGTGGATGGTGGGCAGCCGCAGCAGCGGACCGGCACGGCCCTGCTCACTATTCGAGTCCTGGATTCCAACGATAACGTGCCCGCCTTTGAACAGCCCGTCTATACTGTCTCCCTGCCGGAGAACTCGCCGCCCGGTACCCTGGTGCTACAGCTCAACGCCAGCGACCCGGACGAAGGCCAGAATGGCGAGATCATCTATTCGTTCAGCAGTCACATCTCTGCCCGGGCACGAGAACTCTTCGGCATCTCCCCACGGACCGGGCGGTTGGAAGTCAACGGCGAACTGGACTACGAGGAGAGTGGCGTGTACCAGGTGTACGTCCAAGCCAAGGATCTGGGGCCCAACGCCGTGCCTGCTCACTGTAAGGTGCTGGTGCGGGTGCTGGACGCGAACGACAACGCTCCCGAGATCAGTTTCTCCACCGTCAAAGAAGCGGTGAGCGAGGCGGCGGCTTCGGGCACGGTCGTGGCTCTCTTCAGCGTCTCGGATCGAGATTCGGAGGAGAACGGGCAAGTACAGTGTGAGCTGCTGCAAGGCGACGCGCCTTTCCGCCTGAAAAGCTCCTTCAAGAACTACTACACCATTGTCACCGAGGGGCCCCTGGACCGAGAGCAGCCCGGCGGCGACGCCTACACTTTAACCGTGGTGGCGCGGGACATGGGGGAGCCGGCTCTGACCACCAGCAAGTCCATCCAGGTGCGGGTCAGCGATGTGAACGACAACGCGCCCCGCTTCTCGCAACCCGTTTACCAGGTGTACGTGAGCGAAAACAACGTGCCCGGAGCCTACATTTATGCCGTCAGCGCCGCGGACCGGGACCAGGGCGCCAACGCGCAGTTAGCCTATTCCATCTTGGAGAGCCAGATCCAGGGCATGTCGGTCTTCACCTACGTCTCCATCAACTCCGAGAACGGCTTCCTCTACGCGCTGCGCTCCTTCGACTACGAGCAGCTCAAGGAGTTCAGCTTCCAAGTGGAAGCCCGCGACGCGGCCGGCGGGGGCGAGGAACCCAACGGCGAGGAAGCGCTCGCCGGCAACGCCACCGTCAACATTGTGGTGGTGGACCAGAACGACAACGCGCCGGCCATCGTCAGCCCGCTGCCCGGCCGCAACGGCACGCCGGCGCGAGAGATCCTGCCCCGAGGCGCCGAGCCGGGCTACTTGGTCTCCCGCGTGGCGGCGGTGGATGCGGACGACGGCGAAAACGCGCGTCTCACCTACAGCATCGCTCGGGGCAACGAGGCTAGCCTCTTCCGCATGGACTGGCGCACCGGCGAGTTGCGTACGGCGCGCAAAGTGCCCGCCAAGCGTGACCCGCAGCGACCCTACGAGCTGGTCATCGAGGTCCGCGACCACGGGCAGCCCCCGCTTTCTTCCACCGCCGCCCTCCACGTGGTCTTGGTGGACAGCGCAGTGGAGCGCCAGGGGGCGGGGGCGGGCGGGGGCGGGGGAGGAGGGGGCGCTGGGGGGCTAGTTCCTGGGGGCGCAGGAGGTCCGGGTGGAGAGCATCGGCCCAGCCGCTCGGGCGGGGCCAGCAGCGCCGACACCTCCCTGGATCTGACTCTGATCCTCATTATTGCCTTGGGGTCGGTGTCTTTCATCTTCCTGTTGGCTATGATCGTACTGGCCGTCCGTTGCCAGAAGGAGAAGAAGCTCAACATCTACACGTGTTTGGCCAGCGACTGTTGCCTGAGCTGCTGTTGCTGTTGTTCTTGCTGCAGCCGCCAGGCGCGAGCCCGCAAGAAGAAGCTCAGCAAATCGGATATCATGCTGGTCCAGAGCTCCAATGTCCCCAGCAACCCAGTACAGGTGCCTGTAGAAGAGTCGGCAAGCTTTAGTTCCCACCACCACAACCAGAACTATTGCTATCAGGTTTGTCTCACACCTGAGTCAGCCAAGACCGATCTGATGTTCCTCAAGCCTTGCAGCCCTTCCCGCAGCATAGAGGCGGAGCACAACCCTTGCGGAGCCATCGTCACGGGATACACCGACCAGCAGCCAGACATCATCTCGAATGGCAGTATATTGTCTAGTGAGGTAAGACGCTAGCCCCATCCACTCCCTGCCAAGTACATTGCAGTGTTCTCCCAATTCCCTCTAAATGTCACCAGTTAAGGTTAATTAATGTCCTAATATAACCTCAGTTTACTAACAAGGAATGCCAACAAGGTATGCCAACAAGGTCTACATCATTGCATCCTAACTGGACTAGTCTATACCTTTTGGCTTGGGCTGCCTGTTGCATTGGGGAAAACTTCCTCTCATGCAACGTAATTGTTCACTAATATTGCAATATTACAATTATTGTAGTATTACAATAATAACTGTAATATCATTACAATTGACAAGCATCCCTACATTTTTATTATTACAAAACTTGCACAATCAGTAAAGTGCAACAAAGAGATAGAGGGAAAAAACACAAAAATTCCTTGTAGCCACTTTATGGTTGTCCAGACTTTTCCAGTCAACATATAGTAGCCTTAAGTAATAGCATTAATCCTGGTAGTATTGTATCAATTCTAGACTTTGTATAAACTTGACACATTTTTCTCTGATTGTTTTCTTTTCACAAATGCTTACAATTCTGTATTTTGACATTTCTCATCTCCCCCCATTGTTATTAGGAGCTTATTGTTTAACCTTAATAGGATTTATAATTACAACAAGTAGTTGCAAATGAATATGTACCTGATTTATGTCAACTCACCAACAACACAAACTCTTGTCTAGAAAACATTGTTGTGTACATAAGTCAATCTGCAGTGCAGTGCAGCTTTCTTCTGCACCACCTTTGTCACTTTTCAGCCACTTTCTTTTCAGATGCAGAAGTGTCAATGAACAACTTAAATATTGTTACAGTTTAACAAAGGCCATACTGTGGGCATTTTAGTTTGCTTGTTCCATTTTCAGAATCAAATTAGCATAGCTTGAGCAGTATTTACAATTCTTTTGTGTAGAATGGTTAGTCAGAATTAATTCTATGGTTATTTTCATTGCTTTTACCAGGAGCAAATACCAAGTCTGAAGATAATTCCTACAGGCTAATCAACAAACTAACACAAACCCTTTAGAAATGCCTTTATTTGTGATTGAAGATATGCAGACATTTGCTTATGAAATATGAATATCTAACTAGCAAGCAGAGAATTAAAATAATTTCATAGTTAAAGATCCATTAATTATCGCTACATAAGATTATTATTCTATATGTTTTCCCCCATCAAAAGAGGCACCTTGAGAAAATGCATCTGAAATCATCTGTTAATACTTATGGAACCTGTATTAAGCTAGTGTGTAAATAATATTTGTCTATCCTATAATCTGGGTTTAGACTGTCATATATTACAAAATAACTTTGGTATATTTTCTCTGTACATATTGCTGGGAAAATGTAAAACCTATTTCCAATACAGTTCTAAATATACTTACTCATAAGTAAAGCCTACTATCAGGAATGGGATAGATCAATGGGATAGATCAATTTGGTGGCTATACATTATTTTTTAAACATGTCATTTTTTTCATCATAGTTTTCCTTGATTAACTGTCATTTGATTTTTTTTCCTCCCATCCACACTACATGTTGTTGGCTAGTAGAGTAACAGTTGTGGATTTTACATTAGATGAGTAGTTGCTGTTAATTGTATTAAGAGATAAATGTATAATCCTTTCTTATAAAAAGTTAAGAGAATGGCAAAAAGCAGATGAGATATACAAGAAGTATTGGTTATTTAATTGATTAAAAGCATATATATATATATATATATATATGTGTGTGTGTGTGTGTGTGTGTGTGTGTGTGTGTGTGTGTGTTATATTTATGCTGATAAATAAATAAAGGGAGACTG